GTCTTCATTAAATATGTCATTAATTAGGTGTAACTAAATATATGTAAATGCACCTATGAAACAATTTGGACTACAAGTATTTGCAAAGGGATATTTTTTGTTACAGGTTTATAAAAAATAATTATTTATTGAAATAAATTTCACTTATTGAAATAACTGAGATTACTTTCATTTTTTTTTTTTTTTTATTAACCTATAATGTATTACTTCCTTCAGGGGTACAGGTCTGTGACTCATCGGTCTTACACAATTCACAACACTGACCATAGCACATACCCTTCCCAGTGTCCCATCACCCAACCACCCCAGCCCTCTCACTCCCCTCCCCTCCAGCAACCCTCAGACTTTCAATTTTTAATACATTTTGGCATAAAATTGTTGATAATTATACTTTTTTTTTAAAGATTTTATTTATTTATTTGTCAGAAAGAGAGAGAGAGCACGAGCACAGGCAGACAGAGTGGCAGGCAGAGGCAGAGGGAGAAGCAGGCTCCCCACAGAACAAGGAGCCCGATGTGGGACTCGATCCCAGGACGCCGGGATCATGACCTGAGCCGAAGGCAGCTGCTCAACCAACTGAGCCACCCAGGCGTCCCGATAATTATACTTTTGAGGCCTGTATGATCTATCATGATAACCCCACTTTCATCTGTGGTGTTGGTAATTTGTATTTCCTCTTTTTTCCTTTATCAGCGATGGTAGATGGCTATCAAGTTTAGTAAATTTTTCAGTAAGCCAGTTAATGATCTCACTAATTTTCTGTAAGGTTTATTTTCTGTTTCTTACTAAATGTTCTTTGCATTATTTCCATTCTTCTGCTTAGTCAAGTTCCACTTGCTCCTCTTCCGTTTCTGGAGTTAGATGCCTTATGTTACTTATTTCACACCTTGATTTTTCTAATTAAAGGTGTTTTAAAGTTCTGAATTTCTAAGCACTGCTTCATCTGCTCCCACATCTTTTGGTATTTTTATGTTTTAAATTTTAGTCCGTTTGTGGCTTTCCTGCTCTAGATCTTTCTTTTTTGTTGCCTGTGCATAATGGTAAAAAAAAAAAAAAAAAAAAAAAAAGACCTCATACTGCCTGCAGATTTGCCCCTCTAATATATCTGCAATTCCTATTTCCTTCGTCCTTTTCTTTATCCTGCACAATTTGAATCTACTCCCAGCGTTTTCTACCAGTGCAGAGCTCTGCCAAAAGAGGGAGTTTCTCTGGGTTAGTACTAAGACTTCATATATTCAGGCTGTCCCCAGCCCTTTCAGAACTGACTGTAGATCTTCTCTTCCATGCGCCAGAGTGTATAAAACCCCTTCCAGTTTCAGCTGCACCTCTCAGATATCCCTTAAACAATTTTCAGGGGTGCCTGTGATTCGGGGTTTCTTCTGTTTTGTGGGACCCCCCACCCCGTTGCTTTCCTCTGCCTCCTCCCATATTGACAGTGTCACAGCTTAGGTTCTGAGTGGTCAGTGGTTTGTCTCCCCTGTTTGCATTTGGAGGTTTGTGGTGATAATGGGCACAGTGTTTTTGCAGATTTTTTTTTTATCAGTTTTGGTTTTTAATATCTCAGTTCTGTTTTGATGTGGGGATTGAGAGATTTCAAAACAGTTCTGCTGAAGCTATCTTTTCAGAACGCTGTGGCTACCTTGATTGTATCACAGAGCCATAGTTTGTACTATTTCATGTTTGTAGCAAAAGAGGTGTAGCGCTGACTTTTTCCAGAGACGTCTACTTACGAATCCTGATTGCAGGGTCTGGATTATTTAGTGACCTCTGGAGTTGTCTCTTACTATGACTGCTGCATTTTCTTTGCATTATAACTACGGTTCTTTCCACTACTGGCTCCTAAGCCGTCACTCATTTCAGGAGTGTCCCACAGAACAGCCGGTAGTGAGGAAAGGCCCAGATAAAATGCCTGCCCTCTTTTGTGCTCCTGTGTTGCCGTTTGTTGGATGGGACCCTCCTGGATTCCAATTTAGGAAATTAAAAAAAGGGGGGGGGCTAATTCAGAAAGCATGGAACTTGTCCCTCGCACCCGCGTCCAAATGGGTATCTTTCATGTCGTATAAATATGACTGAATTAGCTGAATGCCACCTAATACTGCATAGGATTATATGACCAAAAATGCCTCTAGCATACAAGGTACCTTGATAACTTGTAGAAATTATTGCCCATCATTTATTTGGTTACTTTTTAAAAGAGCTTATGACGTATTCTAGGGAGTGGGGTGGTTGAATGCAGTTGGGAGAGCATTCGTGATCCTCAGATAAGTCTTTACTCTCTGTGTCCTACTTCGGTGACACATTCTTTCACCGTGGCCACTTCCAGAGAAATGGCTGCACACATAGGTTGTCATTATCGAGACTCATGCTGTTCAGCACTTTCACATGCTGACTTCGGTTCAGTTGCAGGATCTCGTATGTCTCACAAGTTCATTGAGTCTAGCACAAAGAGCATTTTTTGTGAAAAGTCCTTCTTAGAAAGTTAATACATGTATTGCTATTTTAGTTTATAACATGCAAGTACTTTTCACTGAATCTTTATGACAACCTTGAAAAGGAGACATATCCTCCACTTTATACCTGAAGAAACTGAAAAGCTTAAAACTGAAACTCGGAAGTTGCTGCCTTCTTAAAGCTACGTAGGCAATTTATGACAAAGCCAGGGGGAAATTATTCAATAATTAGAATAATTACTACCAGTATCAGAAACCTGTGTGCGAGCCAGTAATTCAAAAATGTCTGCAAGGGAACATGATCACATGAATGGTTTTTAATAACTCAGCCTCAATTGAATTAGTTACAGTTTAGAGAAAATTTTTAGTAAATATGTATTCACATTTCTTATTATATAATGTAGAATACACAGTATTTGTGATGGAAAATAATATGTAATACAAAGTAAATTTGTTTTGTGTTGAAACATGTAACAGTTTGGAAAATCGTGTTTTGGAATTCAGTTGTTTATGATTCTGAATCCTATATTCGCTCCTTTAGACCATGCTGCCTCATGATAGAACTTTCAGAATGTTCTAAGTGGCTAAAGAGAGGAATCAATTATGACAGCTTAGGTATGTCTGCCCAGACTAACTGGCGTGGACTTTAATGATCAATTTAGGAAGCATAAATACCAAGAAGTGGTAGGAAAGAGTAAATGGATGTCAGGGATCTGAGACCTAATTTCTGTCATACAGGTCGTAAAGTGTCTTTGGGCTCATAAGGAGAATGAGCAGTTTTCTTAGGAGGGAAGTATGTGCGTACTTTATCAGTTTTAATAAAATATGACCCAGATCTGTCTTAGACTATTCCTGCCGCCGGCCGTCTCCTCTGTGGCAGTCGTCACCCCATCAGCACATACTGTGGACGCATTCTGATGTCATTACGATGGCTCTGGACGGCCAGATTCTCACATACCGTATCCACTTAGCCTGACTCTCTCAGGATTGACTGCCTTTACTCTGTCATTTTTCCTACGAGGCAAACTATGGAGAAATACATAATTCCCAGGAGCTACACATTTGGTCAAATGCATGCTGTTGTCTCGCCCCAGAATCTAAAACCTAGTGTCCTTGGGAATCTCACTGCTTAGAGACTACCGTGAGGCGAGTTTAAAAACAGAAGAGACTAGCCCGTTGGTCATAGGGTGGCTGTGAATTCTTTATTCGTGTGTAAGGCTCGGTCTCCTTCCCTTTCTGAGCACATTTACCCTACATATCTCATTTTACTAGTGCTCATCTCAAGGAGATAGTTTTCATATATTTTTCAGGATGAGGTTTTGAAATCAGCTATAGGACAAACTGAATACGTACAGATGTGTGTTGATGTGTGTACGTGTGAACACATATTTTTAATCAATACAATATGGCAAACTCAAGTCATCTTAGAAATGTTTGCTTCATAGTAAATCAGTAAATCAGAGGTTTATGTAGCAGCAAAAGTGCTGGGCCCTGCCAGGGTAGGGGAGAAAAGGGAAGGGGGTGGCAAAGGTTATTGGGATGTCACTCCTTTTTGCAGCAACTCTGGCCATACGCTGACCAGCTGCCCAGGTGTCCTCACCATGACATTACTGGTTTTATTGGCCTAGGTCCTTTTCAGGGCATTTTTTATGGGAATGGAAGACTTTTGTTGAGTCATAAAGGTACCATTTACCAGTTGTATGCTCTTTGTCAACGAGGCCTTCTGAAACTCTTCTGAGCTTCATGTAGTTGTATTCTGAAGCAGCACCTTTTAAAGACTGACGCTATCAGGGGCACTTGGGTGGCTCAGTGGGTTAAGCCTCTGCCTTCTGCTCAGGTCATGATCTCAGGGTCCTGGGATCGAGCCCCGCATCAGGCTCTCTGCTCGGCAGGGAGCCTGCTTCCTCCTCTCTCTCTCTGCCTGCCTCTCTGCCTACTTGTGATCTCTCTCTCTGTCAAATAAATAATTAAAAAATCTTTGTAAAAAAAATAAATAAAGACACATCAGTCCACAGTCACAGTGCTGGCTGCCATATTGGTATCCAGTCAATGATATTGCCATGATCTGATGAGAGACTTTGTCACCATTTCCTGGGACTCACTTTTTTCTTTTCTCCTCAGCAATGTAGGAAACCCAGCTGTATGTAAGCAATATAAAATACATAGAGAATACATAGTAGTTTGGGGACAAATGGCTAATATTTCATTACTTTAGAGTGTAAGAAAGAAAGTAGAGACCCACTACCTATAATATGTCCCAACTTGATTCTACGTTTATTTCTACGGTATATCAGGCACTTAGTGATTAACTTTGACAATGGAATTGGACCAAGGATAGTTATCAGTATATGGAGGATTCTAGTCAGCTGCTACTATCTGTATCCAAAACTCTAACATAAAACCGTAAGCGACTACTGTTGATGCTTGAAGAGTTTGAGTCTTCTTAGTAATAATAACCGTGTATGAATGAAATCACCATTTGGATGAAGGAAGAATATCCCATATTGGAAAGTAATCACAGCTTTTATGCTCTTGTGTGTGCTTTGACAGCTTTTTGGAGACTACAGCCTATTTCTTCATGAAGCCAAAACTTGGAGAAAAGGAGGTGTCCCCGAATGTTTTCTTCAGTATCTGGCATGAATTCAGCTCTGACTTTAAAGACTTTTGGAAGAAAGAGAACAAACTCATTCTACAAGAAAGGTAGGTTTTTTTCGTTTGCACAATGGCATTTTAAAACTGGTATTTTATTAGGTGTGACACCACTGGGGTTGCCAACTTTTCTAGCCTAAATGAAAAATTAGATGGCCCTCAACCTGGGATATCGAGTCTAACAGGGTGCTGAGAACTGACAAAATTTGGAGTTTGAATAAGAAGGTTGGCCCAGAGGCTATAATGCTGCAGAGCGTAGCAGGGGAAATGGTTTGCCAGGACCACCGTCTGGTAAAACAACTTCTGTGAGGAGGAAACCACAAAAAAGCAGATCATGTAAGTGGAGTGGAACAACCCTGCTGAGATGATAACCCCTACTCACCTCAAAAGGCCAATAGCAAAGACCATATAAAGGTAAGATGAATCATTTTTGTTTTGTCTTGTTTTTGCTCAGTTCATGAGATACTGTCCAAATTTCACCATTTGTATTGAAGTTTCTGGCAGATGTCACCAGGAAACAGATGATTGGTATTTTTTAAAAGATCTTTCAGGATTCTTGTAGAATTACACCACATTTCCTAAAGTAAACGTTTTCAGGAATGAAGGGAAGTTTTTTCTTTTAGGTGTATGAAATAAAGTCTTTGTCACCGATTATGAAATTCTGTAGAGGTGTATTAAATATTAACTCAGGAGGAAGGCTAGCTCTCCCAGGACAGCAGCCCTAAATAACTAGGTCTACCGGGAGGAGGAAAACGAGGCACAATCACCCTGTAAACCACATGCTAAAACGGAACCAATCAGTTGCTTTCCAGCATCCTTGGCCTAACCATGACTTTGCTTCAGATCTTTAGAACACTTACATCCTGAGGGACTTCGGTCGTCATAACACAAAATTCCAGTTTCTGCTTACTGTCTCCCGTACATACAAAACCATGATTGTCCGCCTAGTTTTCACTTGTCAGTAGATTCTGAGAGGACACATCCTGAAATCAGTTGAAATTAGTGGCTGGCGTTGTTTGAGCACATAGACTGTGGTGGGAGTGCTGACTCATGTAATTAATCACTTGGATTTCGCGGTGTTTTCATAGAAGAAGCTATACCTCAGTGAATAGTAGATGGAAAGAGAGTGGTCTGAACAGAAGGGAAGATGCTTTAAATATTCATTCTAAAGATGAGAGTGTTCTACTCCAAAGGTCATCATTATGGGTTAACCAAAAAGGTGCGATTTTAGTCAAAAGTCCCATGCAGGTGAGCTAGGAGAGCGAATTACTGAAATACAGGCCCACTTAAATTGCCATCCGTGTCCTTCACACTTGGCCGTATGTTATCTTTCTGAAAATTTTTTTTTTACCAAGCAAGGGCTGTCGGTTTGGAAAATCGTGACGAGGAACCTCTTCTTGACTTCACACATCCCCACAGCCTCCCTTCCTGTCCCTCACGGGTCCCCGCGGGCCTTCCTTCATCTCTAATCTCAACTTGTCCCTGGAAAAGAGCTGACAAGTCAGTCACACAACTGTACAAATCTGAGAGAGGAATAGCTCTTTTTCTTTTTTTTTTAAAGGTTATTTATTTATTTGTTTATTTGAGAGAGAGAGAGAGAGAGAGAGCAGGGAGAGGAGCAGAGGGAGAAGGACCAGAGTCCACACTGAGCACAGAGCGGGGCACGGGACTCGATCTCACCACCCTGAGATCAGGACCCGAGCTGAAATCCAGAGTCAGATGCTCCGCCCACTGAGCCGGCCAGGTGCCCTGACGGGTGGGTGTCTCACCGTGTGCCGCTATTTGCTTGGTGGCTGGGGTCAGAGTCCTCATGAGGATGGAAGTGACAGGCGTCAACAAGACAGAAGGGGTGGCGCTGTGGTCCGGGAGTCACTGTCCCGGCAGCCCGTCAGGGAGGCGATGTGCTGTCACGGGCCGTTGTGTTCCCGTGGCGGCGCCGCCGGAGGTCCTGGGACAGAAGGTGGGCGACTTCCGCTGTGGTTCGCCTTTACTTCGCGCCTCTGTGCGGGAGCCGGGGAGATGCCCTTCAGGGAGCTGCTGGGACTGACTAATGCGGTTGCCCCCCGCCCCCCAGGGTCACGCAGTCTCCCCCAGCCTGGGCTCCACGAGGTCGAGCTGTGTCTCTAGGTAACGCTTTGGTACCGGTCCCCTGTTCCTTGATGTTTGATGCATTTAACGTGACCCAAGCCAGCTCTTCCTCACGGGGTGTCTCGTAAAACCAACCACGTGCTGCTTTCATTCATCCTGTGCCCGTCCTGTCCTAGGACTGTACCGAGGCTCTTTTGACTCAACCTCTGGTGACTTTGCTCACCCCTTGGTGGCAGTGTTGTGAGTTGGCAGATGACAAGTGCTCTTCCCTGCCGGCTTCTCGTGGTTCGGAATCATTTGCCTTTAACCAAGGGCCAAGGAGGAAGGTGAGCCCGGTGAGCGCGCCTTCTCCACCCTTTGACTCCTGAAACTCACCTGCTGGCAAACTGGCCGCTTTGATAAGCAAGACCATTGGTCTGATTGGTTTGTAGAAAGCCTCGTCCCTTTCCTTAGTGTAAGGACCAGTGACAATTTCCACTGGGAAAGGGGGGGGCCTTGTTAAAAATTATTAAACAGTTTCAAGATGGCACGTACAGAGCCCTTCCAAAAAAGTGTGCAGACAGCACCCATGAAGCCAGCCTTGCCCAGTGAAAGCTTTGCTTCCTATTTTCTGTCGTAAATGGAAGGGCATTTTAGGAATGCTTCGTCTCCTCAGACATTGCTAAGAAACAGGATGTGGTCAATGAAAAGTGTTAAACTTTGTGTAGCGCAGCTGGTGTCGAGCTGAGTGGAACTTCACATCACGCTACAGATGCTACAATGGGTGCTGTTACCCCAACCGGGTTGTCGCCTCCTCTGTACCCTGTATTTATCACGTGCCTGTTTTGTTTTGTTAGTCTTATACTGTGATGATGCCTAATGATGTGTGTGTTTTCATTTCATGCCATAACCATGCTGACGTTTGCCTTTTAGTCTTTATTTCCCACTGAGACGTTTTGTGCCTTCGTTTATGATGTAGCTCTCACGGTCCCTAAGCCAGTGCCTTTCCACCCTCTGGTCTCCATGAATTTCTGCTGACTTGACTTGTTAACATCATTGCTTTTGACACAGACATGGGAATAACTTAGCTTACGAAGTAATGAACATGCTTTCCTACACAGCTTAAGTTTATCCTTGTAAGTAATTTTTTAAAAATTCCAAATACTTTAAGCAAAAGGAAAGGCACTGTTAGTCAAACCCCAGAAGGGCAGGGATGGAAACTTGCCTGTGGGTTGCCTGACTGTAGACGCTGGAACTGCATTCTGTGGCGGTTAGTAAGGGAGGTCCATGCTGTCGCTCACTATCTGTCTTTCTAAATGTCTTCTTTCCTCCTCTACTCCCTTCTTCTTCCTCTTCTTCTCTCCCTCTCTCTTTCTCTCACTCTATTCTCATGGTCTCACTCTCTCCCCCTCTCATCTCCCTGCTACCACTCTCTGTGGTTCAGTCTAGTTTCCAAGTCAGGCTATTCCTTTAAGGGTGGCCCCATGGCCATTGGTCACAGCCAAGACTCACACTCTCACAACCCAGTAGGAGAGGGCACTCTCCACCATCTAGAAAAATTCCAAGGAAGAACTCCAGAGGAGTTGTACCCAGTTCTGAATCAGGCACCGTGGCCAGAGGTGTGGGGTACCATAGTTGGCTCCGTAGTTCACAAACCCGGTTGTGCAGCCAGAAAGGATTGACAGCCCCCTTCATAGCAGTCACTGGAGTTAGGGAAGAGAAGTTTTCCACAAAAGGAAATAATAATATTACTACCCCAAATTTATTAAGCCTTTAAAAATAACCTGCGTAATTAGCAGAATGTCTTAGCATGGTAGAAAAAAACCTGAACGATGGTTTCACGGTGTCCCTTGGTCTCACTTGGAATTCACAGGTTGACTATCTTTAAGGTTGTAAATCCTGTAAAAATATTTCCTGTCCCACCATTTCTATTTGGTTCTGATTATAGAATGGTAGTAACTTTATATTTTCTGGCTTTGCCCTGATGATTCCTATGATTGAGTAACTGTATTTCTTGAATTGGTGAATGCCTACACATCTGTGAAAGGTCTTAAAAAGGTCTGCTCTCTTTCTAATTGATATGGCTTGGAAAACATGAGGATTTTTGAGTTAGCTCTTCCACTTACCAGCCTGGCCATAGGAAGTCATAGTTTCCTAAACTGCATAATGGCGACAGTAATACCTCTCTTGCAGCGTTGGTGTGTGGACTAAACGAGGTAATATATTTAGAGTATGTTAACAGTGCCTACGTCCCCAGGGCTCTGTGGCTCTTCCTCCATCATTTAATATAAATGATTCCCTGATCATGGCTAGCTACAAAGGTAACATATCGGTAAGGCATATTAAGCATCTTAAGAACATATTCAGTGGATACAAGACATTTTTGTGACTCAGTTACTTTGTGGATACGTAGAGTGTCTTGATGATGAGTCCAAGGGCAAACTTTTGTTTGAGAATGTTCACGCGGTCCATCCCTCTCTTATTGACATCATGATACAGAAAGGAGTTCCTGTTTTGATGCTTTTAGGCAACTGACACTGGTCTTGTCAAGTCAGAAAAGGTGTTTTTCCATAGACTTGCAATGAGGCGTATGCAATCGTTAAAAAGAAATCCTTCTTGAAAAAGAGATCTAGACTTGTCATCACTGAGCAACACAAAACATATGGGAAAACATTTTTTAAAAAATGAGCTTGGTATATCCAGAAGAGGGGGGGCAAACCAACATTTACTCTGTTGCACATCTCCCCAAAGGGCCCACATAGCACAGTGTTAATATGTCAGGGACTGGGCTGTCCTTATCTCTTTTATTTTCGGGAACTCAGTGGTGTATCACCTAGCCACCAAAGAATCCATATGGAGCTTGGACAGTAAGAGCTGTATGAATTAGAGGAAAGAAGTGTGGATTGATTGGGAATACATGTTTGACCCCAATGGACCTGTGGTCCTGGGAGAAGACAGTGGGGCCCAAAACAACTCCACTTCTC